CACAGGAATCGAGGTGCACCAGATGACTCGGGATCACGCTTGACAGACCGCCACGCCAAGCGCGCCGTCGTTGAGCTAGCCGGGCTCACCGATCGCAACCCAGCTCTCACTCGATGGAGGAGAGGTCAAGTCGAGCATGACAAAGACGACGGAGGAGGTGGACGCCACACAAGACTGCGACCTTGTGGGGAGCCTTCGCTACCGCGCCCACACACGGCCGGACTTGGCATTCTCCGTCGGCTCGTTAGTCGGTTCATGCAAATGACCGACGATGGAGCAGCACCAGCCGGTGTGAAGAGGATCATCCGCTACGTTATGGGGACTCTCGACCACGGCCTCTACTACCCGAGGTGTCTGGGGGCACACACTTCGTCGCATGCAATGACAATGACCACGCCCGACGACATCGACACCGGCAAAGAGCACGAAGGGATCCTCTTCTTCCTCGACAAGTGCCTCGTTAGGTGGGCGATCGGTCAAGCGGCCAGTGGTGGCCTGTCTGTCATGCGAGGCCGAGTACATAGCGGCCTCCACCGCTTCGACTCAGCGCCTGCTCGCTCGATCGCTTGGTGATCTCCTCGGCGAGAGACACTAGAGCGGTGGAACTCGTGGTGACAAAGAAGTCCGCTCGCCCTGGGTAAAGAACCCCGTGTTCCACGAACGCAGCAAGCACATCCGGGTGAGGTACCACTTCATCCGAGGTTTGTTTGGAGGAAGGGAGCATCAAGGCGAACTACATCAACACCAAGGACCAAACTTGCGGACTGCTCCACCAAGCCCCTTGGGAGGATCAAGTTCCTTGAGCTCTGCTCCAGGACCGGGATGGTTCAACTCTCCCACAAGACGACGCACAAGACTTAGGGAGAGAATGATGGATAAGTCATGTGTGGTCGGTCTTTGTGAGGTCATTGTTGTTGCTCACATGGTCCTTGTGGTTGTTTTTTACTTTTTTAAGACAACATCATCTTAGACTAGAGGACAACATCTTAGAGGACAACATCTTTACACTAGAGGACAAAGATCTTAGCTAGGACAAAGATATTAGCATCTTAGACTAGCATCTTGACATATGCTTGGTGGCTAGCAACCTATAAATATGTAACCCCAACCCCTCAGGTTGGTATGGCATTTATGTGAGTTTGTGTGAGAAATAGACAAGAAAATTGCCCCAACTTCTAATGTCATCCTCTCTCGATGAGAGTAAGAATTCTCCTACTAACAAGAGTGAGAATTCAGCGACTAACAATGTAACACACCTACGGGAACAGCAACCTATTTCTACTGCCAAAATGGCACAACGCCAATCAGTTCCCAAGGAGAGCACCAGGGCACTACGAAGGTACTTCAGATTCTCAGCGGCAACAAATGTTTCAAAGTACATAGCTAGATTGGCAACTAGAGGGGGGGGATGTTATTTTCACAAAGTACATAGCTAGATTGGCAACTAGAAGGGGGGGTTGTTATTTTCACTTGGTGCGGAAGCTCAAGCCATGAGAATGCAGCAAAACTCAGACAACGTAGCGGTACGTGATGTATCTTCCAGCAGTCTCACTGGCTCGGGTGATCCTCATGACCTGCCCACGCTTCATCCCATAGTATCTTGCTATCGGGTCTGTAATCTGAATCCGGGGGAGCTGCATCATAGATAGTTTCATATCATCAGAACACAAAGCATCGGCAAGAATAGTGATATGAGTAGGAATCTATGGCGTAAGGAATCTGTTTCTTTTTCTGATCACAGAGCAGAGCCTTGTTATTAGAAATGTAAAGCTCGATGAAAGTAAGACAGTGCAACTAGGTGAAAGGGGTGTCTGACACTTGCCAAACTCAACCTTGAACATCATGAAATTAGAAAACTGGTTGCCTAGAGAGAAGAATAATCCCCAAGCAAATGAGATCAGTAGCAGGGGCAGAACCAGGACTAGAAGGTACTGGCTGCTAATTAAGGTACATCACTTTGGTTAAAAACTAAGCTACAACGTATGATTTTATTTGATAGAAGGGTCTGTAACGAAAACATTGGACCATAAGAGGGCAGAGGCAGGGCCATCGCTACTGCAAGTCACCCCTAGTTTCACCCTTGGTCAGTACTGTTTCATCGTCAACATAATGGCAGAATAGCCTCTATCTATTGTCTAGTCCCTGAGGTTTTGGTTTGTCCATTCTGATCCCTGAACGATTTTCTTTGGTCCAAAGTAGTGCTTGGGATGACATGGAGCTCCACGTGTGCAGATAACTCAACACTAGGTCATAAATTGTATGCAAAATGTTCTTGTCCCTATGAAATCTACAGACAGGAGAAATAAACCTAAGCTCAAAACATTTCTGTTCTTTTCTTTTTAAAAGTTTAATCTGCTACTGCCGTTAGAGCTAGACAAGCTGCACGCCGCGCTCCAACCCTGTAGGGACAAAGATGCAGATTGAAGCAGCAAACAGGAATACAGATGTCTAGAAACAATAAATCAATAATGATGACGATTGTTCAAATAAGTGCAGCATACAAATTGCTCGGGTTCAAACATATCTTGTTCATACCATTACCCAACTATAGATAAGTAGATAGGCTATCATATTTATTTTCCAAATGATATAATAGCATAGAAGCTTGTCAGATTAACATTCTATATACCTGTTAAGTGTGCAGACATCACAACAGTAGGTTATTTCACATGTGGCTAGTGGCTATACTATGAGTTGTCTTGTAGATGTGGTGTCCATGTCATCACAGGGATTATTTTAGAGAAAGAAGATAGCTCAAGGGAGCGATTCAAGGAAGTGGACCAATAGAAACTTCACTTTCAGAGGCTGAATTGAGACTCCCGTGAAACTTCAAGGACAATAGTGGTTATTCCGCCTAACATTATATAAATTAATAATATGCAGTGGAATCAGTTATCAGTCAAACTAGTACTAATAACATCTGAAAGAATAATTTTCCAATTACAAATTTGTATAACTTGTTTAAACTAACTCTGAGTTTAAATATATATTTCTGCCTCAATAGATTTTTTACTACCACAGTTAGTGCCTCCCATTCTCACCTATTTTAGCACTGTAGTGCTTCAGACAACATCTTGCATATATAGTTTATCACTCTACTTAAAGTCTGAAATTATACACAACTCTTGTTATAGAGTAGTTAACGGTCCTAATCTGCAATGAAATTAACTGCAGTAACAAAACCAATAAGGCTAGCTATGGTCTGACTTATTCTCTTCACAATTTGGGTAAACAAATAGGAAGCCAAACTGAAAAATGTGCATGCCATAGGTCTATTCTTATGTCACAAGGCTAACTAAACGTTCAAACTTATATAGCAGACCATTGCTTTCAATTTCTCTACTCATATTTTACCATAACACATGACATGTTCTTTTTGCTGTTTAGATGATAACTACTGCAGATTGTCAATTTGGCCTGAACACATTCACATTGCCAGTTCTCAATGAGGTAGGTAACTAAAAAATCAAATGGACATTTATGCGTTTTGTCAGTTCCCAATGAGGTAGCTAAAATCAAATGGACATTCATGCTAACAAGCTGAAAATGGCTTAATACTCGGCAACTTATTGCTTCAGGAAAATCATGGGAGGTCAATTACTTCCCAATATGCAGACCCAGGCATAGTTTCATGCAATCACTGTACATAAAACCTTAACCCAAAGAATTGAACACAAAAATAAATTTTAGAACCATTATGCTCCTATAGACACAAACAGCCAGGCTACTCTGAGGAAAGAATAGGCAATATTATTCGACCTGGGTTTCCTTCACGGTGTACCGCTCTAGAAGACTCTTCTTTTCTTGCGGTGTCAGGAGCACGTGGTCTGGCACTAGGACATGGTTCTTAATGTTGGCAAGAAGCTCAGCTTCCTGGACAACATCACAATAAGCGTCAGCCACAGTTTTCGCAAGGAGCAGCGCACATACTGACATAGAGATATACCAATGCAATGAGGTAATAAAGAGAAATTAGAGAGTCGACCTGGAAGACCTCGAGGTGGTACTTCTGGGAGACCTCCTGAACGGCGCTGCGTGCGAACGCGCTGAGGGCCTGCTGCACGACGAGTATGCCGGCGAAAACGTTCTCCTGCTTCATCTTCTCGACGTAGTTCCTGATCGTCTTCACCCCGGGCTTGGCCTCATTGGGGAAGAACACGTAGATCTGCAGGTGTAACGCGCAGCTAGGGTTACGCCGAGGCGGCGGCGGCGGCGGCGTATGGGGGAGCAGCGGAACAGGGGAGGGACCTTGTCGGAGGAGCCGTTCGACAACTTCACGGCGCTGATGGCGAGGTCGTCGCGGCGGACAGGGTTGCCGTAGCGATCGACGAACACGTTCCTTGGGAGATTGATTTCTTCCTCGCTGACCGTGTATCCGCGGTCGCGCAGCATCTCATACACCGTGCGGCGGATGCGGAAGAGCCGGCTCGTCTCCTCATCCGAGGACGCCATCCCCCTCTGCTCCCTCTCCTTTCAGCTAGTTCCCAGTGGAATTAGAAGGGGGATTTAGGGCGATGGAGCGGCGCCGGCGCGGACGAAGGCGGGAGCTGCGCGCGGCGACGGCAGGTAGGGTTTGCCCGTTTGTTGGGGTTTAGCGGAAGGAGAAAGAGTACGCGGCGGCACCGAATGACGAGGAGTGGTTAGTCGCGTGCGTTCTTGGATGGGCCTGTGCGGTCCTTTGGGTTTGACGACCCGGTCTCCGGCCCCTTTCTCAGTGGTTGCTGAACGGACTGATTTGGCGTCCATAGTGTCTGAAAATGGGCCTCCATCGTCCGATGGGCCGATTACTGAGGGTGCCATGGCCTTCGACCCCATCAATGTAGACGAGCTGGCAACTGTCGATGTGCAAACTGCTGTCGGCAGCCCACCTCCTTCATCAAAAGTCTCATATGAGCCTATGGAGATACCTTTGCACGACGACGAGAATTCGCATCAGACATCCGTCTGGCCACCGCAAAGGCGGACCCATCCGTGGAGAAAGCGGCGACACCCCCGTCGCCATGGCGACCGACCACCGCGCGTCGCTCCTCCCCTTCGCCGCCGCCTTCCTTGTGCTGCTCCTCGCTGGCGGCGCCGCGGCGGACGACGCCTCCAGCGACGACGACGCGGGGACTTCGCGGACGCCCGGCTGCTCCAACAAGTTCCAGCTGGTAATGGCTGTGCCCCTGCCCCTTGCTTACTCGATTCGCGGTCCTTCCTCATCAATTAGGTCACTGCCGGTAGTAGTTGGTTTTGGAGTTCGCGGAGTCCTGTAGTTGGTAGGTAGAGGTGCGATGCTGAGATCTGGCTGATGATGGGGTCGTGTAGAGGGATTTGTGGATGCACCTTAGTAAGGCCTGTTTGCAGGCGTAGGACTAATCTTTAGCCAGCTATTTTTTTTAGCTCTAGCCCATCCAAACGTGGGGCTAATAGGTGATCTATTTTTTTTAAAGAGTTTTACCTCTGCTTTTAAGAACAGGAATGCTATACAACACACATGTGTTTTAGCACTAAAAAACACATGGATTTTCTCTCTCTTCCTCTCTCTCTTTTCAACTGTAGGCAGCCGTGGTCCGTCGTGTAGCAGTCCGTCATGTAGCAGCGAAAATACCACGCCGGACAGGTGGGCCTGGTGGAGAAGTAGCAGTCCGTCATGTAGCAGCGAAAATACCACGCCGGCCACCGCGAAAATACCACGCCGGCCACAGCGAAAACACATGGATTTGTCCTCTTGTCCTTACATAGAAAAAAATTGTTTCTTGTGATATGTAGATCTGTGATTTGTGATTGTATGGAGGTAGAAGAAGGCTGGAGGTTGTTGGATCTTAATTTTATAGTGTAAAAAAATTCATGTGTTAAAACTGTATAAAACACATGGTCGTTGGGTAGACAGACTCAAGAACTTTAAGAAAGCATATTAACCGAGACAAGACTGGGGATACAAGTTAAGCCAGTAACAAAAGAACAAAATGCTGAGCCTTGTACAGAATCTAAATTTAGAAGATGTCTGTAGGCTCCAACAAGCTAGGCTTAAAACTCTTCATCCAGCTCATGATATCATCCTTCACATGCAAAACCCGCTGCCAGTCCACCTCCTTTAGTAAGACGCCCCACTTCTGCAGTAAGGATAGCGCAACATATATCACATCAGTCAGAGCTTTTGGAAACCTTTGCTCAATAGCCATCTTGTTCCTAGTAGTCCAAATTGCCCAAGCAAAACCTGCAAATATAAACATGATCATGGGCAAGGGCCCCTTGCCCTACAGCCGAGTCTCAGAGAAATACTTCAACGATTTTGGACAGAATTTTCAGTGAAAGACTTCCCTCAAACCCCCCCAGATCCAGTGAAATGGGTCATGTTAGGTGGTTTTTTATTTTTTTGAAATATTCATATATATTTAAGTAAAATTGGAACATCTTTTCAGTTTTCTAAACTTGTTTTGTCCTTTCATATCCAGAAGAAACTCAGTACATGCCATATTTCTTATACTTTTTACTTCACTTTTGAAACAATCAAAAGTCCACACCGCTCTGAAATGTACCACTTGGTCCGTTATTCTATTTTTGTCGAAAATAACTCTGATCCTGTTTCCCCTCAAATACCCAAAATACCCTTTTCTCTTTCTTATGTTCCAGCTTTTCTCCAGGTTAAGGTGAAGAATTGGGTGAATGGGACTGAAGGTACAACTGTTGTTGGCCTAAGTGCAAAATTTGGAGCTCCCTTGCCAAGAGATATTCATGAAGCAAAAAAATCATTTGCTGTCCTCGCAAATCCAATTGACTGTTGCTCCAACTTGACATCAAAGGTTTCACTTTAACACCATCAGTAGTAGGCTTTTTATTTCCCATGGTCGTGCTATCAGCATAATCCTAATAAAGAAAGCATGTATTCCATAAGTTTGTTCTAAGTTAATCCTTGTCACTGTAGCTAACAAGTTCAGTTGCTATAGCAACACGTGGGGAATGCACTTTCACGGAAAAAGCAAATACTGCTCAGGCTGGTGGTGCGACCGGTTTACTAGTTATCAATGATAATGAAGGTATAACAAGAATGTGTCATGTATTTTCATTTTTCTGTCCAAATAGTTTGATATTCCAAATATACATGCAAGTTTTTTTTTGCAGAAAGTAATCTGTATCATGTTTCTAGAGCTTTACAAGATGGTTTGCGGTGAGAATGACACTTCCATTAACGTGACAATACCTGTTGTCATGATACCACAGTCAGCAGGAAAGAAGTTGAAGAACTTCTTGCATCATGGAGCAAGTGGCAAGTTATTCTTAAATTGTCATTCCTTTTGTTGGAAAGTGTAGCATGATTTTTTTCCTTCTATGTTGCTCTAGTGGCGGTGTTCAGTGCTACCTCCATCCCAAAAAGGATGCAATTCTAGGTCTGGTCAATGTCAAATTGTCTTAAGTTTGACTAAGTTTATAGAAAATATTAACATGTATGAATCCAATTAGGTATACTATAAAAATATGTTTAATGACGAATCTAATGATATTTATTTAGTATGATAGATATTAGTATATTTTTATATAATAATTTTGGTCAAACTTCAAATCATTTGGTTTAACACTACTCTAGAATTGCATCCTTTTTGGGGCGGAGGCAGCAATTTTGTATCTAAACAATTGCTATGTGCTTTTTGTAGTCATTCCATAGGTAATTGTCTTTTGCATAAGATATATATTGCCAACTGAGAGAACAAAAAATAATGTTTCTTGAACTCCGGTGTGCCAAGCAAACCTGAGATATGATTTAGCAATCATGTTATAAGGTAGTACTTGTGATGAGACATCAACTTAAATTAGATAATGCTAACACGTACAGTATTGCAAGAAATTTCTATTTTATCTTTTTAAATAAGATAGTCGTCTGTAGTTTGATACTATTAATATCAGGTTTGACTCTTGTGTCCTGTTCATCTGTGATCATCCACTGATCTTTTAAAAAGGTAAATTCTATAGAGCATAAGAGAAATATGCACTACGTGGGTAGCTCCTAGCGCCTAGTTGTTGATAAGGTGGGGACTTGTGCTAGGTGTCTTAGTGACCAATCATTAAAAGGGCAAAAAATTAGTCACAGATGAGCCCAGACTCCTTATTGGGACTACATGCTGATTATAACCAACCAGTGTTATCAAGTCATCCAATTAATCATGATTAGTCGTCCTAATCGCTACCTTGGACTCGACTAGGTGCTACGACCCGATTAGATCGAATAATTTTCTGGTCGTCCGATTAGTCGGACAACTATGTGGTGGACGACCAAAAACATAAAGGGGCTGGGCTGGGCAGCTGATGATATGGGCTGCATCTGGAATGGCTTGGGCCACTTGGGCTTATTTGTTTCAGCCCAATTTGGAATCCTAGTTGGAGCCACCACCTGAACCCTCGGTCCCTCACCCTAAGCAGCTCAGGGCCTGTTTGGTAGAGCTCCTCTTGCTCGAGATTCTATGGGGAAGCTGATTCTCTGAGGGAAGTGATTCTCTGACTGAAAATGTTTCTCTATTGTTCTCTCTAGAAATGTTTCTCTGTTGAAATAGTCACCTGGCAAGAATAGGTGAAACCGTTTGGCTATTGATCCAGATTCTCCTTGAAATGAACTATAATCACTGCGAAACACCTATTTGGGTGATTCTCAAAACAGAGAAACGTTTCTGGGTGTTTCACGGAGAATCGCTACATTAGAGAATCCGAAACGTTTCTGTCATCCAAATGCACCCTTAACAATGTTGTCCCTAGTGTGCCCTTGGTAGTGTAGACTGTAGAGGGTGCAGAGGGACCTAAGGTAGGGGCACCTGGCGTAGAACTGGGGCTCATGGGCTCCAGACTCTAGGGTTGGTGTTCTTGCGCCTCAGTTGTTTCCTTTGTTCAAGTGTGTCTTAGTCTAGGTTGTGTTGTGTCGTGTGTCTGGCATTGTACATTTAGTACTCTCTCTTAATGAATTGACATGCACCTGTTATGTATCTTTTGAGAAAAAAACTGATATATTTTTAAAATGGGACTGATCTAAGACAGAACCAGATTTTAGTGGTGTCTGGTGCCCTAGAAGATGAACCATGTTTTTCTGCTGTCTTCTGGTAAAACTGGAAATTACTTTTATCATTCCTCTTTTTTAATGAAATAGTTTGTCACTACTTTTTATTGTATTCGCTCATCCTGCACAATTGTTGAGTTTGCCCAATAATATTTGTTTATGGGTATGAAGCTCTCGAGTGATTTCTGTTACTTCCAAAATTGACACAGCTGTTTGTGGCAGGTGGTCCTGTAGAAATGGTGACTAGCCTAAGTTATATGTTCTTTTTGACTTAACTATCCTACACCAGAGTATGCATGATATTGAGAAATGTTTTCTATCGTCGCAGTGGAAGTACAGCTATATTCACCAAATCGACCAACTGTGGACCTTTCAGCATGCTTCTTATGGATAATGGCTGTAGGCACCATAGTCTGTGCTTCACTCTGGACTGAATTTGTTACATGCGAGCAGGTTGATGAGCGTTATAATCAGCTGACCAGAAAGGTTTGGACTTGTGCCTACCCAAAGTGAATGGACTTTGATGATTGTATTTTTATATGCACGCAAACGCATTCATTCCCATTGCTTCAGGCCATTGAACATCTATAAGTTAATATCAAAGGGACATTAGTACGATATTAGGTGAAGGAGCTTGAATTCAGTATCTTGCATGAGTGGGTTGTATGCAAGGTACATAATGTTATACCTACCACTAGGGAGGGTATCGACAAATCCATGCTTGTCCATGTCCATGTCCAATTTCATATCATCATGATCCATTCTTACCCTCCCCAATATTACCCATACCCATTGGGTAATAATCAATCTTATACATATTCATTGCTTTGAGTTGAACTAACGGCTTCTATTACTATTTTATACATATACATGTGAGCTCCACGTCAAAGCTGACCCTTGGAATGAAAACCTCGCGTTCACACCTTAAAATTTTAGTGAAATTGATTGAATACTATAACTTTGTGCAGATTTACAAGACTAGATCTATATGTGGGACCCATGTACCCTAAAATTAAAAACCTCATGTTCACACTTAAAAATGATCAAAACTGATTGTTTTTATTTTTGAGATGCCTCGGTATGATAGCAGGCTACTTTGTACATACTCGTGCGGCTATATTCAAATGTGGGCCCAACGTCAAAAGCTTAACCCTAAAATAAAAAAAACCCGCTCACACCTTAAAATTTTCATGAAATTGACTCAAATTTGTTGGAGATGACTTGTTATAAGGGTGGCTACTTCATGCAGATGTGTGGCTAGATATATATGTGGGCCCCACATCAAAATCTGGGCCCTAGAATTAAAGATTTTGTGTTCACACATTAAAATTTTAGTGAGATTAAATAAAATTTGTTGCAGATGATTCAATATAGCAGTCTGGGTTTTAGTACAGATTAATGCAGCAATGGGTCCCACATTAGAAACCCAAAACTGAAACGAACTGTGTATTATTTGATCCACCCATTTCTACTAATAGATTATTACTTGAGCTGAAGACTTACCCATGGATAATTCACACCCCATGGCCCATACCTTACCTTTTCTATTGGATTAAAAAAATTTACCCATACCCTACCCAAATGAGATGGGTACCAACAACATGTATAATTGATGTGTTGCTAGTCAAATGGATCATGTGTACAAAGATATAGGAATGGGCTAAATATGACATACAAACCAGAAGCCATGCAACATGGTTTACTCTTGTGCTTTCATCTGAAAAAGTTGCCCTGAGCAGTGACATTGTGACTCCAGACGACGTTGTTATGAATTTTGGATTTCGATGTGAACCAATTGTATTCTTGTCATCATCACTTGGTACTTTTTCATAAACCCCTGTATTTTTGCAGGTGAACACACAAAAACTGAAAAACATATCTTGTTCTCAACGTGTCTTTTGTGCTTACAAATGCTCCTTGTGTAACCACTGCATATGCCCTCTCATGACAAATTTATTCCTTCATATTAAACAGGATGGACCTGATATGGGAACAAACTACAGAGAAGATAAAGAGATCTTCGAGATCAGCGCCAAGGGTGCTATCGTTTTTATTATAGTAGCTTCAGTTTTCCTCCTCCTTTTGTTCTACTTCATGTCATCTTGGTTCGTTTGGGTGCTAATTGTACTATTCTGCATTGGTGGTATTGAGGTATTCCCTCCTTTCAGGCACAGAAATTCCTCTATCTTTGTACTAGTGCATGTTGATATGTATTTTTCCCTTTTGTTGGGGAGTTCAGCTCTGAGTTTAATGGTGATATTTTCTTGCAGGGTATGCATGTTTGCTTGGTCACGCTTCTAGCTAGGTACCAAATATATCAATTTTGATAAAGCAATTCAGTCAATGCTCCCTTTATTTTTATACCATCATCCTATATACTTCATATAACAGGATTTTTAAGGACTGTGGACGAAAGACTGCACAACTCCCTTTTTTGGGAGAGATCTTGATCTTATCTGTTGGAATTGTACCATTTTGTATGGTATTTGCAATTCTCTGGGCTGTGTATCGCCATGCTTCATTTGCTTGGATAGGCCAAGACGTTCTTGTAAGATAATCTTAACTTACAACCTTTCTTGTGTTCTGTTCTTTTCTCCTGGTGCTGCATGATAGTTTCCATATGTCAAGCGCCTTGGCACTCAACGACGGCGGCCCGCGACTATGTAGTTCGTAGTCGCGCTCCAGTCCTCACCGCGAGGTTATACCCCTCTGCCGGTGGCTTAACGAGAGTAGAGGTAGGAGATTAGATGATAACTGATTGCTTGCCTTCATTATTTTGAGTCCAGGGAATATATGAGCCAACCGGCTAACAAACTGGGAAACAAACGATCCTAATTTTAAGGCCTAATTTCTCCTAGCCACTGGGCCCGGCCCTGCCATCCTCGTCCGAGGTGATCGCGCCCCTTGCCACCACGCGTCCGCAGCCTCGCCTTCTGCTGCTCTGCGGATGTCTCGCGCGCCTACTTGTGCCGCTTTGCGAATGTCCGGCCCCACATGACATCTCTCCTCCTCGAGAAGCGCCTCGTCCTCGAGCCGGAAGCTTGGAAATTGCTCGCGAACGTGTCGAGGTCTTCCTGTAGCCGACTCGGCGGTTCGCCGCGCCAATGGATTTAGCAATGGCGAACGCCAGCAGCAAGCGAGCCCGCTCAACCCGAGCCGGCTCTGGAGTTACCACGCCATGGTGGATGTGTGGCGGTCAGCGGTGGAGTCGACGAGAGGCACGCCACGAACTTCTTGAGGGCGCCACATGGAACACGCTATGGATGCGAGCTCATGGCGGAAGGTCCAAACGTCTACCCACGTCGTTGATGAGCTCGGCGACGCGCCGGGGGCCCGATGTAGCGCGGCTTCACTTGCCCGTAGTAGCCTGGGGTAGGGAGGACATGGTGCGCTGTCGGAGGTGCAGCAATGCCCAATCGCCCACCTGATAAGACACTTGATGATGTCGATCGTAGTGGTGCTTTTGAACAATCTGCGCCTGTTCCAGGCGATAGCGGACGTCGGCGAGAAAGGCTTCGCGTTCCTCCATGTCGCGAGCCACGCAGCAAAGAACCCGAGTGTCTCCCGCTCGTAAGAGCGGATGGTGGGTGGGTCGCGGCGTACACCCACGCGAACAGGGTCTCCGGAGCGAGGGATCGGTAGGCCGTGTTATACACGATTTCAAATTTCCAGGAAGCCACCGCAACCACCGCCGGGTCGGTCTCCCGTGAAGCAACGCAGTACATGACGATGACGCGGTTGGCCGCCCGTCCGTCTGCCGCCGACCGAGGGAGGGTGGAAGCGGACGTCATGTGCGACTTTTGTGCCCATCGGCCTCATGAGCTCGCGCCAAAACAATGAGGTGAACATTGGGTCGCGGTCCGAGACCACGGACCGCGCATGATGCCGTGGAGCGCGCACAATGTCGGTGAAGAACGCTGGGCCACGGACTCGGCGGTGTATGGGTGCGCCAAGGGGATGAAATGGCAGTACTTGCTGAAGCGGTCGACGACGGAGAGGATCACGGACTTCCGTTCACTCGCGGCAAGGCCTCCACGAAATCAAGGCCGATGTCGGCCCGCACGATGGTAGGGATGGGCAGCGGCAGGAGGAGCCCGGCGGGGTGGAGGTGCTCCGACTTGTACCTTTGGCAAGTGACGCACTCTCGCAAAAAGTCCTGCACATAGCGACGCATGTTGGGAAAATGAAAATCGTGGCGTAGTCGATGATGCGGCGTCGCCGACACCCTCGTGTCCGTCGTCGTGGACGGGCCGCCACGATCTCTCGCGGCGATGGCGGCCGGCGGTATGTAGAGCCGCTTCGTCGTAGGTGACCAGCCATCGGAGATCGCCCGGTGTGGCGCGCGCGCCGCTCGCTACCGATCTCGTCGTGGATGACCACCAAGGCCGGATCCGTGGCCTGAGCGTGGTGGAGGCGGCTGATGAAGTCGAAGCGGGGGCCTGAGACTGCCATGAGTGCGCCCGTAGAGTCCTCGGTGTCGCGGCGTGAGAGGGCGTCGGCCACCGTGTTCGTCGCGCCGGACTTGTACTCAACGGTGAAATCAAAGCCCAATGACTTTTGCCGACCAAAGGATGCTTTGGGAATAGTCGCGAGGCGCCGTCGAGGAGGTACTTGAGATCGTAGTGGTCCGTCTCGACGATGAAGCGGCGCCCCATATAGGTATGGCCGCCAATGGCGACGGCGAGGACGAGGCCGGCCGGTTCCGCTCATATAGCGCAAGGGAACGATGGCGGCGCCACCGGCCGGTGAAGAATGCAATCGGTGCGCCTCTGGATGAGCACCGCCCGGCCGTAAGTGGACGCGTCACACTCCACGATGAAGGGCCTGGAGAAGTCCGGCAGGGCCAGCACAGGGGCTGACGTCACCGCCCCTTTGAGGGCTGTGAAGGTCGCCGCAGCGTCGTCGTTCCATGTGAACCCCTCCTTCAGGAGCGCAGTGAGGGGTGCGGCGATGGCGCCGTAGTTGTGGACGAATTTCCTGTAGTAGCCCGCCAGCCCGAGGAAGCCGCGCACCGCGCGCGTAGAGCGGGGCCGCGGCCACTCATGGATGGCCTGGACCTTGGCGGGATCCATCGCCACGTCGGATGCGGAGATGATGTGGCCAAGGTAGCTGACGGAGTCGACGCCGAACGAGCACTTGGACCTCTTCACAAAGAGGCGGTGTTGGCGCAGAATGGTGAGGATGACGCGGAGGTGTCGGAGATGGTCCGCCCAGCTCTTGCTGTAAATCAAAATATTGTCGAAGAAAACGAGGACAAACCGGCGGAGGTGAGCGCGGAGCACGTCGTTCATGAGCGCTTGGAAAGTCGCTGGGGCGTTACATAGCCTGAACGGCATGACCAAGAACTCGTAGAGGCCGTCGTGTGTGCGGAACGCCGTTTTGTGGACGTCCTCCGGCCGCATCCGCACCTGGTGATACCCCGACCGAAGGTCGAGCTTGGTGAAGAAGCGCGCGCCATGGAGCTCATCCAGGAGCTCGTCGACGACGGGGATGGGGAACGCGTCCTTGACGGTGAGGGCGTTCAGGGCGCGGTAGTCGACGCAGAAATGCCATGAGCCGTCAGTCTTCTTGACGAGGAGTACCGGTGAGGAGAACGCCGAGTCGTTGCGTCGGACGATGCCCTGGTTGATCATGGCGGTGCATTGTCGCTCAGCTATCCCTTGTGGGCGCCGGGTAGCGGTAGGACGGGCGACCCACGAGGAGCATCCGGCTTGAGAATGATCTTTGTGGTCGCGCGCGGGGTGGATTCGATCCACGGCTCGGCGAAGACGTCCTCAAAGGTGGCCGGCTGAATTCGTCGAGGAGGGACGTCTTGGCCGTCATGAGTGGAGCCTGGCGCTACCGGAAGGCGGCACCCGTCTAGCGAAGTCACGCCCGTAGTGAAACGACATGGTGTGCTTGGCGAAGTCCCGAATAATCGGGCCGAGGTGGCCATCCATTGGGTGCCCAACACGGATCGTATCTCGCAAGGGGCATGACAAAGAGGTCGATGTTGAAGCCGCGTCGCCGACGGAGAGGCGCGGCCCGGATGACGCCGGGGCATGTGATCCGCTTCGCCATTGGCCACGATCGCCGTGAGTCGAGGCTCGGACCGGACCGTCGGCCGGTCTTGTGCGCGGCGCGGGCGGCGGCGATGAAGTTGTGGGTAGACCCATCGCCGAGGAGAGGCGACGAGCGTGGTACCGCCAATGAGACGGCGAAGCTGCAACGTCCCCGCGAATGGCACTCCACGCCATCGCGTGCGAGGAGAAGATCGGCGACTCCCTCCTCGCTTTCGTCGTCGCGGTCGCCGCTTGCCGTCGGTGTCGGAGATCTCGACGCCGCCGATGTGGAAGATGCGCCGCAGACGCGACAGTGCCCCCCGGTGTTCTTTTCGTTGCGATTGTAGCATAGGCCCAAGCGGCGGCGCCCTCCTCTCCCTCCTGAGAGGCGCTTACCGCCGGCCGTCCTACGTTCGCGGGCACTTGAGCCTTCTCGGTGGCGGCTGTGGGCGCCGGGAGGGCCGGACGCGATCCCGGTGCTCCCAGGACGCCGCGCGCAGGGCCCTTGGCCGGAGCGGCGGTGTACTGTTCCATGAGCTCGAACTGCCGGGCAAGGCTCATGGCGGCCGCAAGGGTTTGCGGGTTTTGCATCTCGACTGGAGGTCGAAGCGGCGGCAAGAGCCCCCGTGAAGAAGAGCTGAACCTCGTGCCTCGTCAAAGGCGACCGGCGCGAAGCGATGCTCGGCGGTCTCGTAGTCGGTCACCGTCCCCGTGCGGCGGCAGGCCGACAGCTCGAAGAGGGGCGCCGAACGGAGCGGGGGCCCGTAGCATAGGTTGAGGAGCTCCATGAAGCGCGGCCATGTCGGCGTGCCCTCGTCCTCTTGGACCTGCATTTACCACAGTTGGGCTCCCTCCTGGAGATTGTACGATGCCATCCAAACGCGCTCCTCGTGCATGATCCGCTGCTGCAAGGACTCGCATTTGTTGATGAAGATCAGCGGGTCACTCTTGCCGTCGTAGTGCGGGAATTCGGGGCGCCAGTGCTTCGGCGGCCGATCTTGGTGGTGTTCGCCCGTGCCCGGGCGCCCTCCGGATGCCGAGGATCCGGTGACGGAGAGATCATGGATCGCCTTCGCGTTGGCCTCGATCAACTTGTGCATCAGTTCCATGTTCTTGGAGAGTGCGTCTATGGTTGGACCAGTTTAATATTTTTCATATTAAATGCTTGCTATTTTCAATTTGAAATCATACTGCTTTGACCATTGCAAAACTAACCACATGTTTGGTCATGTTTTCTGCTTATTTCTCCCAGGGTATCTGCTTGATGATAACTGTGCTTCAGATGGCACGCTTACCAAATATCAAGGTATTGGCATGTCTATTGGCAGCAGTTTGGTGATTTTTATCAAGTAAGAATTTTAGTGATCTTATCTGCACCATAAAAATCTCGAACTGTATTTGGCAGGTTGCATCAGCACTTCTTAGTGCTGCATTTGTGTATGACATCTTTTGGGTGTTCATTTCACCTCTTATATTCAATGAAAGCGTCATGATTGCAGTAAGTGTATTGATCAATCCTTTCAATGAAGCTTCTGTAAATGGTAATTCTTTAGTACCACAGGTTGATATGTAACATAGCTTTCGTGGTTAATTGATCAAATTGTCTTGCAATTTGCAACAAGATGGGAAGGCCTGTTCCTTTCAATCTCTGATCCAAAAACAGATGTTTAGGGTTTAGGGTACATTGCAGAAAGTACTCCAAATGATAAAATATCATGTTCCTGTGTTAGTTCATATACACCATGGTCCATGGCTTGCGATGTACAATCGAGCAAAAGTCCTTATTCTCAATTTGAAGTAAATGTTTTAGAGTTTTGACATAAATTATGAAAAAAGCCTGTCTTGGAGACAACCTCAAAATTATATTTTATGAATTAAACTAGCATATAATTAGAGAATGTGTTTTTCAAATGTGTGCATAGGACATTGTCCAAAATGTAATCTGTCAACAATTTGGGAGTTGATCTAATACAGTGCAGTGAAATTGCACTTCAGCAAAAACATGCACAATGACACTTTTAATGGCAGGATTAGATGCACCGGCTGCCTTATCTAGTTGTTTTTTCCACCAAAGGTAATTTACTGGGGTTTGGAGCCCATTTGTGTCTCAAGTCAAATCTTCGCTTAGCGCAGAACTTGGCGTGATGGTCATAGTTGAAACAGTAATAGCATCTCAATTTTTTTGTGCAATCCCGGATAACGTGGCCATCATCCAAGCATTTATAACAGACACGACTATAAAGTCTAGGTTGGTAGTTTAAGTGTTCACCTCGATCTGAGACTCCCCCTAGTAAACAGACAGGCGGCGCCGTGCTAGAGATACTCACAGCCTTGGTGTTAATGAGAAGATCTCTTTTGAGATTTTGAAAGACCCTCTTGACTGAAATATCCATGTTGACATGATGACCACCAAGAATCCCCTTAGGAGTTGAATCTGAATGATGCTTGAGGCATGAAGGGATGGGGGAGAGTCCAGCCCAATCATTTTGTGAAGGTTGAGAGGAGCCAATCACTGATGGAAAACTATCAACAATAGGACAGAACATGCTTCCAATCTTTATCACTGAGTGAAGTTCCTTGGGCTTGGATTGAAAATTGGCAAATCTTGAACAAGCTTCTCATGGAAAACAACCATTTTTTATGAATTCTTCTTCATGTTATGCTTGCCAATAACAGGTGACCAGCTTGCCTCTTCTTCGAGTTCCCATTTCTTTCTTTCTTTGACCCAATCTTCACCACCATCTCTCCATAAGTGAAAATAAACATCAAAATGATCTGTGGTGATTCTTTTGAGAGCTCGAACCAGAAAACCCACACCTTGGAAACAACTGAGAAGCAAAAATGACGATCTTGCAGATACGTGACATGAAAACTAGCCAGAGTGCCTCTGAGACAACAGTGAAGCGCCATGCTGACAGACTCTTCAGTCAGTCTGAAGAGATAGCGGCATAAGATGGCGACCAGGAAGAAAGATCCCTTCGGTGAGGACGAAGGATGGTGAACAGAAGAGGCAAACTTACGGAACACATCAGCCTCAAAGCGCTTACCGACTGAGAAATCCTAGTTACAGACCAGCTTGGCAAGGTGCACATCCTCTTCCAGTTCTACAAGAGCACCAGGGGAGCTAATCTGGTGATTCATCAAGAACGAAATCCAAGAAGAACACAACCAGGGATGGGGGGACGAGGCAATAGCAGAGCACAGAGGTTGGGCACGACAAGGGGAGCAGCAGCGGCGGAGGAGAGGAGAGCAAAGTTGCTTACAAAAAATCCATTGGGGGTGGCGAGTGGGTACTCATCAGCGTCGCGTTGCACCGACCAGTCCCATCCCTGGTTGACCCTCAGCAGCAGCGTGGTGGCAAGAGCGAAGGCCCCTCGCGGGTTGGGGCGGCCCGTGTGCCGTGTGTGAGCCGCACATGTGCGTCCACAGAGGTGGCGCGGTCGAGCAAGAGGTAGATGTCGCGGGGTGGTCAGTGGCGAGGAGCAGCCACTGGAGTTGGTTGGCGTCGCCCGCAGATCCTGTTAGGAGGAATGCGAGCGCGGGCAGGGCTGGTCCCACAAAGGCAACACCCCGAAATTCAGTATCCTTAGAAAGCTCTGTTTTGGTTTAGAGTTTGCATGCTTTTGACTGGTTATATGTGTGCATAATATAATTGCGTGGATATCACCTGTACATTCATCTAATTATCAACCTAATTACCTATACAGTGATCGTGATCAGCCAACATTTGCTATACCTTCTACCCATTGAGTCCTCTGATTATTTTTGTTGTATTTATGCTTGCTTTGGAAATTACTCAGGTTGCTCGAGGTGATAACACTGGGGAATCAATTCCTATGCTCCTAAGGATACCCCGCTTCTTCGATCCATGGGGTGGCTATGATATGATAGGCTTTGGTGACATTATCTTCCCTGGATTGCTTGTTGCATTCAGCTATAGGTATGTGATTTTGCCATATACATTATTTACTTACTTGTGATCCATTAGTTCCACTAAGGCTGCAATAGTTGAGCATTCAAATTAATTTATCGGTTACAACACCTAGGATTTTAAGGGAAGCATAGCTAAACTAAATTCAGGATTAGTAGATGACTTTCCTTTATTTTCTTATATGGATTTGTCTTTTCTACTTTTAGGAAATGTGTGGAATACTACTCTAATGAACTGTCATTATGCTTGTAACGTGGGGTTAGTGAGTTTTGCCTTCAGTGTAGTAATTGTTCACCAAACTTGTAATGTCTACCAACTTGTTTGGGACTTCAAGGCTTTGTTGTTGTTGTTGTTGTTGTTGTTGTTCCATCATTCACATTCCTTTGATATATGCTGAACAGATTTGACAGAGCAACCAGAAAGGGTGTCTTGAATGGATATTTTCTGTGGCTAATTCTGGGATATGCAGTTGGTATGTGCTTGTATTTGAGATAATTTATGTGTTATTTTTCTATTGTGGTATAGCTTATGTTCCTTATTCAACTATGCAATTTGCTGCAATAATTATTTTTTAATTATCTTTATGATGGTGGATTATATTCAGGTTCCAGCAAAAGAATGAATTTTGATTAATGGCCAAGTCTCCAAAAACCATTTTAGGATCAGTTCAAACCATATTATTTGTAGATTGGAACAAACTATACCTCCTGCTCTAATTAGTATTGGAACAAACTATACCTCCTGCTCTAATGGAATAGTACTGTTTAGGTTCAAGTATGGCAATATTATTGGTAACCCTTTGCCCCTTCCAAAAATATTGTTGGTAGGAATAGGATCAGTTCAGGCCATATATTATTTGTAGCTCTTTTCAGTTTAATTTGTATTGGGATAAATAATCTCCTCCAGATCTAAAAGAATACTACTATTTAGTAGGGATGCAAGCGGTGTGGGCCTGCCGGCCCGCTTTGCCCGCCCTGCAAGAAAGACCTATTGGGCATTGCAGCCAGCCATCTTAGTTATTTCTGTTTGGAGCCAGGCTGACCTGCAAAGCCCAGTGGGTGATCAGTGGTGCCATGAAACCCCGCTTATACCTGCAAGGCCTTCTTCAAGCCTGCGCCAGAACGTTACGCTGGTCGAGGATGAGCAACGCCACCTGCCGGCTGTTCGTATTTGGTGCGGACGTTGTCCTTTGCGGTGAACTCGTCGAGACAAAACTTGATGGAGGTGGACTGGATGAGCCGGAGGATGGTGACGGCGAGCAACGACGCAAGTAGAGGCAGAGTTGCCCACGGTTCATAGCGGTCGGCGGTGGTGCGTGGTGCGAGGACGCCGTGGAGGTGCGCGGAAGAAGGTGGGACACGTGGTGCGCCTTGCCGCGGCAGCCCAAGAAGAACACATGAGTGGCCTCCCTGAGCGGCAGCAGGGCAGAGCAGCTTGTGCAGGTAGCGCCTTCACCCGCTCGGGGTCGGCGGCAGCGAGCCATTGCGGCAGCATGAGGTACTTGTCTATGACGATGGAATTGCAGTCCTGCTGAGGCGTCGGCGCCGGTGCCTGTGTCCATGTCAGGGGGGCTTCCACGCGTGGTGCCTTGCAGATGGACGTAGCGGACTCCAAAGGCTCCTCCAAGCCTGCTAAGTAAATTCCTGCCAGGGCTACTGGATTGACGCTATCAGCTGCGCATGCAGTAGCGGCAGCTGCAAAACCTGCAAACTGACGAAGCCAACATTATGGGTAGCCCTTCCAAAAATATTGTCAGCAAGTCTGAGTCAAACCTTAAGTTTTAATATGTAACTGAAAATTAGATAACAAAATTGAATTTTTCCAAGTTTCTTAACATGTGGGTGACTTATGCGTGCCTTAAATGTTTTGGAGCTCCTGGTTAAACATTTTTTCCTTGAATCAACAGGAACGGCTATTGTTATACTAATGTTTTGGTTAACATTTGATCCAGAGCCACTTGGCGTTTGAGTCACCATGTCATTGATTGTTTCCTTGTTGGGCATTTTGTATGGAAGTTCATATGGCATTTTGTTCTAGAGAACCTTTTTTCTGACCTTCTCTATATCCAGCACACTAAATTCATGTTGCAATAGGTGCATTGTGATCAGAACATGTTATTTGACTATAGAGAAATAGTTGTATTGTTGCAAAGAATACATGGTGAGATAGTACCATTTACATCTTTTCCCCATGCAGGCCTTTTCATAACGTATCTTGCGTTGTTCCTGATGGACGGGCAAGGTCAACCTGCGTTGTTGTACCTTGTGCCATGTACATTGGGTAAGTATGGACGGTTTCCTTAAATCCTAGTTTCATTCAACTCTGCGTTTTGTTTAATGATGCATCATTTTTTTGCCAGGGGTTATTGTTATTCTTGGTTGGTTAAGAGGCGAGCTTCATGAATTATGGAACTACGGAAAAAGTCGAGCAGAAAATTTGGTCAACGAACCATGACAATAAAATCCAGGGAAGATTGGTATGTGAACACATGTAGCATCCATTGAAGTAATTAAATCGATGGGTTGATGAACACAATTTCCTGGGCCAAATGGTTTATGATGTATTTTTCTTTTCTTCATCGTAGTAGATAGTTTTAGGATGTTTATGAGGAGGCACGGTGTATTGGAAGATGTTATGTTCATCACATTATTTCAAAAAGGATGATATTATGTGTTCGAGAAGAACGGATGATATTCGTACAAGATGCAATCATGTACAAGCTTCGGATCGGACCAAAAGCATATAAGCATGTCCAATTGCAAAACTGGCAAACTGGACCCATCGACTGACCTTTCCCGGCTCCCGTCCTGCGCTGAACCTAAAAACACTTCCGATCAGGCTACAGAGCATAAACACCCTAACACAATTCTGGCAATCGGCACCGGCACCGGAGGCAGGGGCGGAGACAGGGGGCAGGCCCCCCGCCAACATTATGTTGACTGCCCGTACGTCGCAACGGGAGCATAACATTAAGCCAAGGCATAAAATTAACCCAATTTTTTTTGACGGCTCCAATCATGAATTCATGATACACATAAGAATGACTACTTTTCTTTCATAATACAAAAGCACATGATTGAGGAGCAAATTGTCTAGCTTGTTTGACTAATCCATGAGCATCTTATTTAAGTAGCCAAATATGAAAGAAAATATGTTCAAATATACCATTATAGTTAACCTAAAAATAATTCATAGGTTATTCATGGTGACCTATCAAAATTCAAAGTCACATAAATTTTCTTCCTTATCCATAGTATGGGCCATCCTTGTTCAAGAATGATCGGATTGTTGCAACCAGCTACAGAGTGCTGCACAAGAATGATGAGATAGGAGTAGATTCAGTTGAGATAAAGCATACTACGACAGTGACCTATCGTAAAGTAGCAGCAAATACCTTAGTCATCTTGGCCTTAACCAATAAAAAAAATTAGTATTATGATTGTCTCATAATAATGACAATAGTCAACCATAAATTATTATACAGTTTTAACCAGAAAAAAGCAAGGTCGCATTGGCAATAAAATTGCATAGTTAACGTTTACAACTATGTGCAAGGTGGGATACAACTATGTACAACTGCCGCTTGAGGTCGTCATGCCCTAGTGTCCGACATGTTGTGGACCTGGGTACCATGAGTCCTGCGCTTGGACGCTGGCCTCCATGACGGCGGGGTCTCAGTGGTCTCACCATGAGCACAGGTGCCGGCTCCAGCCTGCCACTTCCATGCAAGGAAAGAAGCTAGCCTAAGTAATCTCACCCAATTTTAGTCAAGAGCTGCATATCAAACAACAATGCAGTAGGTTTAGATAAAGGTAAAGTGTGCATTGCTGTTGCAAATAAAGAAATTATGCAACATATAATCAGCATAACAGCAAAGGTATGTCTAGTGGTTCTGAACATGTCGCAAGTTGTCTCATGAGTGATGAACCCGGACTAAATGACAGACTTCATAAGCATATCAGACCGTGATAAAAGGACAAACATTGCAGAGGACATAAGTTTCTATGCAACTAAAATAAATATGCTTAGTTTTTGGGATATTTGTTGTCTCAAAATTAATAATGTGATAGTGTGGCATGGGTTGCTTTTTATACAGAGAACCTGATAGTGTGTGTCAGGCATACATGTGCACACCCAATGTCCTTTACTGGATACATGGCTGTGGTCTGTGTGCTTTGATCTACTTTACTCTGAATATTGCTAGCCCTTGTTCTCCTCATCCAATCCTCTCCTAAAGCCTATTTAATCACTCCTTTTTATCTGTGGTTCAGCCTAGGAAGGTCATTTGGATCAATGATCACCAGCACAGTTCCACATACATTAGGATGAGTAAATTGTGCAGCAAGAGAAGGGAGGGTTTGGTCTCTATGATTTATTAATTCAGCTCATATAGTTGTTTCCACTGCATATAACGATAGCCTTGTCAGTGTTCCCCTTGGACAGCCATGGCAAGAACTCGTCAGCTACTACCTTGAGAGAATTGGCTCTGTAATGATAATGATTGTTTTATTGCCAGCTTAATATATTTTTGGAGTGAATTTGGTAAACTAAGATTAAGAAAGCAAGTGTCCAACATCTACAATTTTTTTGTCTAGCATACCTGGTTGAATGTGTGGATCCAATGCTTGAACCTGCATATTTCTCATCAATCTATAGGACAAGCATAACTGTTAGCTTTCGGTCAACTTGTGAACGGAAAATTTACTTTCAAGTGTCTTCATGGGTGTTGAAGGGGGAGTTCATCAGAAGCAGCACCACATTGCTGCCATACTTCTTGTTGAGTAACTGTACGAGAAAAATATTGCCACTAAAAAACTAGACCTGCGAGGGTATGACCACCCCAGGCATTGCATTAAGAAGAAGACCTTCTCACGCATGCCATCACCCTGTGAGAACGGGCCGGTTCTTAGACCTGTGCTTTGGCGTGGGACAGACGAGGGGATTTTTTTAACCCCAGCCTGAAATTCGCTCCCACGGGGAGTCAACTCAGGACCTAAGGAGTACCGCTGGGACGCTCTAACCAGTTGGACTAGAGGCCCTTTGACAATATTGCCACTAAGAGTCACCATAAAAGATAGAAACAAGATGGAGTGGTGAAGTTTGCAGGAGCGCTGCATTAGTCATGATATTTTAACCAACCTCGATTTGGATAACAATGAGGTCGAGGAAAGTAAATCCGTTGCGCATTTTGATGACCGATCTGCAAATAATGTTAGTTCCAGACAACATGTTGAGAGCTCTACGAAGTATGAACATGATACTGATATTCAGATACGATTGGAAGTGAATGCTAGAGCTTAATTCAGTTATTGAAACCAAAGCAAAAGCAAATTTGTTTCTACAGCCTGTACTCCTGAAGTGACTAATCTGGACACGGCTTATTTGGGACTGGTGCATCCCATGGTCGTCCCCAGGCCGCCGCTGAGCTTGAGCACGGCGAGCTTGTAAAGCAGCTTCTTGGTTGCCTTAATGTCTGTACTTATTACTTAGACAAATCAGTCTAGGCATTCACATTCCCATGCATCAGATTCAGGAATACGCAGAAGAGCAGCAAGGATTCAGGCTTACAATACAGTGGGCACGTTCGGCCTGGACTTCCACTTCCAAGATGTCGTACGGCACCACCAACTCGTTTGTGGGCGTGGGGATCTTGGCCCACTCGATGAGCTCCTCGTGGAGACGGTAGAGGATGGGGCGGACTCGGCCGCGATGGCGATGACCGTCGGCGACGGTGATGGCGGCGCGCGACGGCGGAGGTCAGCCAGTGTGCGAGGGCGGCGGCGAGGAGGAGGTCAGCTGGCGAGAGCGGGCGCTAGGGCGAGACTGCAGGATTTGGAGCCGAGGAGAGGATTCTTCTTTCCTTTGCGCTGGAGCGAGGCGCAGGGGATCGTGGCCGTCGTGCGCGGGTGCGGCGGTTCCCCGGACGTGTGGTAGAGGGCGCGGGGAGGGGCAATTAGCGCGGGGCGGGAGGTGATTAGCGGCGTTTAGCACGGTCACGGTCAGGGGTCATTAGCGGGGCAAAAACGATGACATTTGGGTCTTCTTAGTTGCAGAGATTAGTAGATCTCATTAGTTCTCACTAATCATTAACATGCTACATGCCTTCTAAATCAATTCTAGATTGTTTTTCTCAGATACATCTCTTGATTGTCTAATGCTAAGTGTCTAAATAAAATAAATATAATGTAAAGTGTTGATTTATGAACAATATTCCTTTTTATCTTCAATGTAGACCTTTACTTCCTTTGTTTCAATTCATAGATGATCGTTTTGACATTTTTAAGTATGTTATTTTTGTTGTGTATCTAAACATATCGTATATTTAGATGCATAGCAATGGTCCTGTTCGTTTCTCTTATAATCCGTACTTTTCAGCTTGTTTTTTTTCAGCCGGAACATTTTTTTTCTCTCACAACAAATCAGCCGGAACAGTGTTTCGGTTTGTTTTTTCAACGAAGCGAACAGGACAATATCTATAATTTGAATAGAGGGCGGTAGTATTTTTCCAAGACGAAGAGATTAAAGATTATTTATTATAGTTTTTTAAGCCAACGTCAAAGTCGATAATGTTTTAAGCCGACAAAAGATCTGATGATGGCACCGTATTATGTTTTTACACTTTATGTGCCGGCCCCCTCTGTATCTGAATCCTGACTCCGCCCCTCGTAGGAGGGGCAGCAGGCGATCACTGATAGGACGGGCAGACCATGGCGAGTGGTTTGGCATATGAATCGGGATTTGCCACGTGCTTTGTTCTGTCTTTGATCCGAACTGCTAAGCTGGCCTGGAGGGCGAGCGGTGCACCGCTTGCGGTCACGAAGACACGAACCACGGGAGGAGCCTTCACATCACATACTGGAGCACGTTTCTTGTGGGTTTGCAGTTCTTACGCCGTTCTGCAGGCCCTGTAGTATTACTGCAGCTATGCCTCTTCAGTCTTCACATCTACTTCAAAACTGAATTGGTTCGACAAAAAGGTGTCTTGAAAATCTATGAAAGTTCGACTCATTCATACGTAATACATTGGTGAGGAAACTAAACAAGCATGATGTGTGCATCAACTACTCTGAACGCAGGTCGGCGAACGCTCCAAGTCATGAAATCAAAGACAGTATCAGCAACTCTGAAGACTGACCGCTATCACCTATCAGACTGAATGTAGATGCAGCGCAAGAAACACCAAACACAAGCAGCACTACAGCAAGCATCGCAGTTAACATCAGCGCTCGGGAAATGACCTCGTGGAGTCCCTGTGACCTCTACCTATCAGGCTATCACAACTTATGCAGTGACAGTGATTCAGCCTCACCAACTCTGAAAGTCTGAAACCATTTAACACGCACTCTGGACAGTGGGCACTGAAGCTAAACAGGGTTCAAACTCTGGCAATCAAACCTATGAACCCTGTTTGAATACTTGCAAACACTGCACAATGGAAGGACTGGCTCAAGCAAGCAAGAAAACATCTCCAGTGATACTTACACTAGTAACTGAAAAGTTAAGTTTCTGGATGTATAAACAAAAGGTCAGGATTGATGGAAAATTAGTGGAAAACAAATAGGTGACATATTGAGCTGAAGTAACACAACTTATACAAGCACGACAGAAGAACTTTTCAGTAGCAAATTGTGATGTTACTTAGTACCACACATGGAATCGGGGGAAAACCGTAATGACAACAGGGAATAGGAAACAATATGCATGCAAGGACAGGCATGGCATAATCAGTATTCGCACACAGGAAATGACAATGAGATCCGGAAGTTAAACACGCAGCAGATCTCAGATCCAGCTGAAACTCAAGCAGCAGAAGAGTCTAAGATTTAGCAGTATAATTATCTTCTGTTATCACAAATTAATAACAGCAATACAGTATGATACAAGCAGTAGTTGAACCCGTCATCGAAATGGAATGCAAGAAAAATGATGTGAAGCAATCAGAACAAGCAAAGCAGTTCACAAGATTTTTAGACCGACTAATCATATTTTTAACAGCAAAATCAAAAGGTTTTAGTCACTCGAGAAAGTGATTAAACAGAGAAAGTAAATGGTGGCATGCACTTTTGCAAGAAATTAGCAACCATTGTGGAGAAAAGTAATTGGTGGCATTCACTTTTTCAAGAAATTAGCAACCATTATGGCGAACAGGGATGTACATTCAGCCATATCAATTTTCACATTGGGGGCACAAGGGAATGGTACAGACTACCAAATCCATTAACAGGAACCTATTAGCTTCTATCAGAACACTGGAACTGAGCCAAGAACGTACAAATCGTAATTGCATGGCCAAACTCAGACATGAACAAAACAACAAAAACAGCCCGCTAAGCTCGATCAATCCAAAGACAGAAACAACTAAGGAATCCTTCAAGAACTGATCTAGACCATCAGACAGGACACACTACCCTCGATCACCATCTCGCCTGATTAGGCATCTCATAGAGCAGAAGAGTCAACTCTCAAGCATTTGCTAGTCTTCAGTTATACAACAACATGATACAAGCAGTAGCTGCTGTACGAATCATTGAACTTGAAAACTAGAAAAATGATAGTACGACTATGAAGCAAACGGAAATTTTATCAGATCAAAAACTGTCAGTCAGTTCACAAGATTTCTAGAACGACTAATCATATGTTCACCAGCAAAACTTCGAGGTTTATTCTTTGCCTTTTTAGCACTCAAGAAAATAACTAACAGAGTATGGAACTGCTGTCTTGCACAGATGCACTATTGCAAGAAACTAGAAAACATTATGGAGAAAAATTTATACCAAAATCCTTCCGTTCTCATCCCAAGATGCTCACTCAGCAGTATCAATTTCCACACTGGGACACAAGGAAATGGTACAAACTGCCGAATCAATTAACGAGAATCTATTTGCATTCATCAGATCATTGGAACTGGGGCAAGAACTAACAGATCGTAGTTGCATAGCCACTTTCAGATGCTTAGTTCATCACAAGTGAACATAGATCAGAACTAAAGAAGGAACAAGCTAAGCTCGATCAGTTCCAAGGAAGCAAACGTCTGAAATAACTAAGGAATCCATCGAGAACTGATCCAGACCATCAAACGAGACGCAATACCCTTTGATCAGTTCCAAGAATGCAGAAACAGAAACGACGAAAGAATCCTTGAAGAACCTCTCGTAGAAGTGATCCAGACGGGCCCCAAAAGACGCTCCAACGCCGTCCCATCGAAGCTCGATCATGCGTCTTTACTGCGACGGCGACCCATACAGTTGCGCATCCTGGAACCACATCGACGGCGGATACCGCGGTCGCCCCTGGTCCAACGCCAGCCGCCGCGGTGGCCCCTGCTCCAACTCCATCCGCCGCGGCTCCTGAGCCTCCAAATCCGAAGTCGACGACGACAGCGCCGACTGCGCTGGCAGTGGCACGGGCGCGGGCGCGGGCGGTGGCGCCGATGTCGGCGGCGCCTTCCACGGCAACACGGGGTGGACGGGCTTGCAGCAGGCCGGGCAGCGCATGCGGTTCTCGCGGAGCCAGTCGTCGATGTTGCTCCCGCACTTGGGACCCTTGCGGAGGTGGAACACGTGGCCGCAGGAGAGCGTGCGGGCCTCCTCCCGCTGGTCCAGGCTGTGGCCGCACATGGCACAGTCGTAGGCCAGCGCCTGCCCCAGGGTGGTGACGCCGCCGAGCGCCCAGACGCGCACCCGCCGCCATCCTCTCGAGAACCGGCCGTCGCGGTAGGCTTACGGCCTCTTTGGCACCCCGTACGTCGGCTTCGGCTTGCGCAAATTGAGGCAGCGTAGCGTGAAGCTAATTTATAAGCCGGTGTTACTGGAAGCCGGGAAAAGCTAGTTTTTCTGGCTTCACCGACTTTGGACTGGTGAAGTCATTTTGGATGAGCCGTGCTAAAGCGGGCTTTAGTCGGTAAGTCATCATGTGGGCCCCAGGTCTCGATCCCTGACACCGGACGCTGGCACGCTGCTGGAACTGGAAGAAGCGCAAGCACAGCGAGGGGAAGGAATGCTGTGAGTAGTTGCGTGTCGCTCAAGACATTCTCCGCGCGGCTGGAAATATGCTTTTAGAATTCAGATCAGAGAACAACAATAGCAATATAGGGAGCAATACGCAGGAACATGATATTATAGGTCAAATACGTGGGAGTGGACAATATTTTTAGAATGCATGTGGTGCTGTCAGCCGGTCACTCACCGAGGCGCCGGCGGAGGCGGGAGATCGGTCGGGCGTCGGACCCCGTCGCAGCGGCTGCGCTGGTGGCGGGGATGGGTTGGATCGGGGCGAGGTGGATTTCTCGGGAAGCAGTGGACTGCGGCGGCCGGAGCGGGGTGGGATGGTTGCGCTGCGCGCAGCTTGCGTGGGAAACGACCAAATTGCTAGAAATGTCGCAGGTTGGGGGATCTCTGAGATCACGAGAGAACTGCGACTGTGGAGGGTGGAGAGGAAGAGGAGCGACTAAAGATGAGCAACGGGCCGGCACGGCCTGAGCCCGGGCCAGGCCCTTTTGGCCCGCCGGGCCGTGTCTGAACAGTCCACCATGCCTGCTGGACGGCCCAGGCACGGTCCGTGGGCCGAATATCGAGCCATGCCAGCCCGTTGAGCCCGTGGCCCACTGGTCCATCGGGCCAGCCCATAGCCCGTTACACAGTAAACACCATATTTCAAACAGCACAATCACAGGTTCAAACTTCAAACAATCACATGTTCACATATTCATATTCAACAATCACAGAAACACCAGATGACAAAAGATTTGAGCTGTTTGTGCAATGCCGCCTCATTAAAAACCTTTCTAGGTAAAATTCACGTCTCGTAAGATAAAACCCTAGAAAGGAAAAGAGTACGGCCAGCTCAATAAATTAAAATGTTCAAATTGTTCAAAGTTATTACAAACCAGCTAGCTCAAATATCTCAACTCTCACAACTAAAGTCGCATTCACAGCCTCTCAGGCTCTCAGCTCTCAGCAGTCAACCATCACCAGCAGTAGATGATCCACCAGCTCCATCATCAAGGTACTGCTCTTTGAAGTACTCTTCTAGCTCTTTGTCCTCCACAGTGTGCTGTCCACCGGATTCACCTAGCTCTCAGTCTTTGACACAGATTAGCATCTCCACGCTGTCCGCGCCCAATCGACGTCGCCGCTCCTCAATGATCCTACCAGTAAGACTAAAGGTAGACTCTGAAGAAGTAGTTGATACAGGAACAGTCATAATATCTTTAGCCAAGGTACAGAGAACTGGATATGTTAGTTTATGCTCATGCCACCAATTGAGGATATCAAAGTCATCATCATATGCCACAACACTGTCACTGTCTAGGTAAACAGTGAGCTCAGAGAGACCAGGAAGCACAATAGATCCTGCAGATGCACTTGAAGGACCAGAAGAAATTAATCCTCCAAAAATTTTGCCCCATGCCTGCTTTCTCTTACCTGTCAGTCCAGATGGATGGGTGGTTCTAGCTAGCCTAGCAGCACCAAACTTAGATTTATACTTGTCGTAGAGTTTATGCAACTCAAATTTAACCTCAGCAAAGTAATCAATGTAACTCATATTGTTACTTAGAGCAAGCAAGTCAAGCACATTTTCCAGACCTTTCAACTTAGCCCTTGGGTCCAGAATAAATGCAAAAGAGTATAACAGTGGTATATTCTTCCAATATTTAAGAAATTTATTCTTCATTGGCACAACTACAGCAGCAAGAGTATTATCATGTTCAAATTTATGCAGATGGGATGCAATCTCAAGTATGTGATGCAGTACCAAAGGACTAGTGGGGTAATAAACACCAGAAAGTACAAAAGTTGAATCATAGAACAACTCAAGGAACTGCAATATCTTGTCAGCAATGTACCAATGCTGTTCATTCAATAGAGGATAGCCAGACTGAGAATTGATGAACACAAAAAACACAGATCTATATGGCATGAGATGTTTTAGCATAAGGTAGGTTGAGTTCCATCTAACATCCATATCCAAAGCAAATTTACGAGGCCTCATACCCTTAGCAATGCAGTAGTTTTTGAATTGTGCAATGCAATGATTAGATGAATTCAGAAAGTTAATTGCAGTCCTAAAAACCTATATGTGTGGTTTAAGCTTTTTCAAACTAGATTTAACAATCAAATTAATTATATGGCAAGTGCATCTCTGATGCACAACATGATAGATCTTTTTACTAGGATTCAATGGATCAATATCATAACCCAAGTAACCAGCAAGCATCATTGTCAGCAATAGATAAAGGCAGATCTAATCTAGCAATCAAACGGCAAAGCTCAGCTCTAGCAACATCAGGCCTATATTCCTAGTTCCTATAAGACCCATCAGGATTCAAAGCAAGCCTAGTTTGAACCAAATTATCCTGTTCTGTTTTCTTCTTGCATGAGAGCATATGTCTTTTCAAATGACCAGTGCCATTAGCAGATTTACCAGACAAACGAGACTTACAGAGCTTACAAATAGCAACAACACGGCTATGATTTCATCAAAGTTAGCCCAGACAGGGGATCGACGCTTACTAGTGGTGGACGAAGCTAGAGATGCTGTATCGCTGGTGGCCGCAGCACTAGCCGCTGCATCGTCTCGGTTGGTTGGAGCAGCACTCCTACCGAACAAGAGATGAGCAGCATCTCCCATGTCGTCTTCATCATCGGGGATCTGCCCTGTGGCCCTGAGCTCGTCGTTGATGGTTGGACCATCGTCACCATCATCGGACTCAGAGCCAGCCATGGCAGATGGCACCCACCCAACCGGCACCGTCCCTCAACGCCTCCTGCGGCACCAGCTACACCTACACACCGGCGACCTACGAACCAAAAACACCGAGAAATGGATTAGGATTCGTGTGATTGCCTACTAGATCTAGGGTTAGGGTTAGAGGTACTTGCCTGCATGGAGACGGAGCCCGGCGCCGGGGAAATGGAAAAGAAGACGAAGACGAGACAGAGAAGAGGGGGGAGACAAAAGGAGATCCCAAGATCCGGTTAGAGAGGTAGGGAGGAAGAAGTGAGACGAGGAGGGGGGAGAGATCAGAGAAGAGGAGATCTCAACATCCGGCGTCGGCAGCGGTAGCCTGGGAGGTGGACGACGGCAGCGGTAGCCTGGGAGGTGGTCGACGGTGGGCGGCGACCGACGGCGAGAGGCGAGGCGAGGTGGGGATTAGGGTTAGGGTTTCAGAGCTCAGAGGCGAGGGTGGCGGGTGAACGGCTGCGGGCGCGGGCAGAGTGAGGGGGAATGGCCGAAGGTGGGGGTCCGTCGGGGCGGGGGGGCTTATATAGCCCCTCCAGCTGTCGGGCCTCTACCGGGTCGGCCGTTGTAAAACGGGCCGGGCCGTGCCGCCCGGTGGGCCGAGGCCTCAGCCCAAGCCCGGCCTGCTACAGGCTTTGGGCCGGCAAGGGCCCGGTTAGGGTTCGGGCCGTGCTGTGCTCGGGTCGGGCCCAATAACCGTGCTTTGTGCCGGGCCTTTGGCCCACGGGCTGCATGCACATATTTAGGAACGACGCAAAAGCGTCTCGCCGCGATGCGTCTGCCTGCGAGTCAAATGGAAGGCAGGGAAGCGATCGGGAGGGGGCGTTGAACTGGAGAGATGGATGGGCCAATCCGTCTGGAAGCTCAGATAGGGCCGAGCCCGTGGCCTCGCGCAGCCTCTCGTTCGTACCGGACTGCAAGGCAGGGGCCCAAATAGGATCCATTAACAACGACAACACATACAGCCCAGTCGGTTTTGGAGTCCGGAGAGATCAAGAATTTCAAACGTTTATTTGAAGGGGACGCCTTGCAAGGCTAATCTCAGCGTTTCCTAATCTCATTTCCTACTGCAAAGAGAACTTTGGGGACATGTTCATTTTTTCTTTAATCTTTGTTAATTAATGTTTTGAAAATAACTTGAATGAAAAATATATCTAACCTTTTGGTCTAAGCAACCGCGTGTGATAAAAATACTCTGCCACACCACATGCATTCTGAAAGCATATTGTGGATAATCCAAATTCCAATTGGAGTCTACTGGTTGTTTTGGATAACTTAGATGGGGTTTATTTGGATTTGATAACTTAGATGGGGTTTATTTGGATTTGGACAGTGTATGCAGCAAAAACACTGAAAACAATCTCTGCAAAAGTTGCTCATGAACTGAACAAGTGAACTGAGCAATTTCTGAAAACAAATTACATTACATCTTCAGCTATCGTAAGTCTTATGTAACCAATAGCAGGCTAGCAGGCAGCAGCTGTGCCGTATTCACCTGGAAGCTGGAAAAAAAAAGCGCACTGCAAGATTTTCTTGAAAATTGTTAATTGTATTCTTCAGTTCAACTGCCTTTTGGCGGTAAGAAACATCTCCAAGTAGAAGCTAAAAAAATACTCCAAACATGCAAAGTATTAGAAGCTTGTGGGTAGTATCTACAATTAATCAAAATTACTTCTCTTTGGCATCTCTCTTGCACTGAATTTTATTGTCATAGTATGACCCCTGAATTGCACTGCCCCTTTTACACTGAAATATCAAGCCTGACTGAACCAAGAAACACCACTAGTGTAATTACACTGCTGTTACCGAAAATTATTGCGCTCTGTATTTGCCATGAAACGAACTGATTATGTCTGATACTAACAGTAAATGAGAAACTTCATCAACTGACGAAAAATTTGTGGAGGAACAAATAGGCAAGCACAGCAAGCTGTTAATAAGTAACTCAAGTCTGATTAGAACTAAGCTTTTCAGTGAAGCATAATGGCAACAGGAAATTAGGAACAATATGCAGGTACAAACATGGCATCGCACGCAAGATATCATAGGAGATTCAGATTTAAACCAAAACCTGCTCACATCCTCCTGAAATTCAACTAATGTCTCAAATTGATCAGGCGTTGCATACAGCCAAAAAAACTGAAGAGTATAGGGATCTTCAGCTATCATACATTCATAAAAGGTATAATACCAGCAGTAGCTAGAATGCAAGAAAAACAATATAAAGCAAACAAGCAGGTCATGAGATATTCAGAACTATTAACCATATGTTCAGAAACCAAACCTACATGTTTTTGGCTCTCGAGAAAAGGATTAGTAGATGATGAAGCAACTGATGTCAGGCCCTATTGCAAGAAATTAGTAAACAATGATGCCAACAGTTTATACTGAAATCACATTCACATTGAGGTACCAAGGAATAGAATAGAGTACCAGAGCAATGAACCAAAGATCTAATAGCTTCCGTCAGAACCTTACAACTGATCCAAGAAATATAACAAACCATAGTTTCTCGGCATTCAGACATTTGGTTCGTTACAGGTGGACGCAGTTTTGAACCAAAGAACAGGAACACAGCTAAGTTCGATCAATTCCAAGAAAGCAAAAACGGAAACTACGAAGGAGTACTTCAAGAGCTGATCCAGACCATCAAAAAGACGAACTACCCTCGATCCGTTCCAAGAACAAGAATGCAGAAAAAGAACGACGAAATCATCCTTGAAGAACCACTCCAAGAGCTCATCCAATGCCAGACCGCCCCACAGGAGGAGTCAACACCGTCCCATCCAAGCTTGATCACGCGTGTCTACTGCGATGACGACGCCTCCGGTAGTATTTCGTCGTCCGCCAGAAGCGGCAACACCCCCGCCAAATCCGGCGTCGAGGTCCGCGGCAACTGCGTCTGCGCTAGCGGTGGTGCCGATGCTGATGACGACGCCTCTGCTAGTGTCTCGTCGTGCGCTGGAAGCAGCAGCGCCTTCTCCAAATCCTGCGTCGCCGACGTCCGCGGCAACTGCTGTAGCGCTGGCTCCGATGCTGACGGTGAAGGTGCTGGCGACGATGGCGGTGGCTGCTTCCACGGCAGCACGGGATGGGGACTCTTGCGGCAGAGCGGGCACGACATCACCTCCGCAGTGCGAAGCCATTCGTCGATGTCCTCCTCGCCGCTGCCGCCGCAGTGGAACGCGTGGTCGCAGGAGAGCGTGCGGACCTTCGCCGGCCTCCATGCTGTCTTAGCACAGGGTGCAGCGGTAGTTCAGCGTCCGCCTCAGGGTGGTGACGCCGCCGAGCCTGAAGATGGGCATCCGTCGCGATCGGCACCACACGAAAATGAAGACGACGCACACGACCACGGCGACGACGGGAAAGAAGAAGACGAGCACGGCGCGGCCGGCGATGGCCATCCGCGTCCAATGGTCGGGGTCGGCCATCGGTCCTTCGCTCCCCTGAATCTTTCGTCTTCTCCTCTCGATCGCTCTCTCTTGCTCTTGCTCTGGCTTTCTCGTTCGCGCTCCCACGTCGTTCTTTGGATTGTGTTGTGCTCGTTCGAAAGTGAAAGGCTGGCCAAATTGGCGAGGCGGCACGGCTATTTGTAGGCAGGATGCTGAACTGCTGATAAGTCGGTTGGTCAGTTCGTTACAAGGTGGGACCCGCGGTTAGATTCCCCACGGCGGCAGTTCAAACTGGAGTTGCAGGGGCGGCGGAGGGCGGAGGCGCATGGAAACCGCAGATCGTTCGAATGCTGGGCTTACTGCAGATTGGCGAGTTTGGTTTGCAAAATGGTTAGAAGTTTAATGGCCGAGCTAGTTCAAGACGCGCCTTCTCGACCTCCCACCACTGCACCACAAGTACATCTCCATCTCCCCCGCACTTCACGCCTTCCGCTACAAAACCAACAGAGGATGTTTTGTCTATCTCGTCCACGATCACCACGACGCAGCGTGTTGCTACCCCGTCCGTTGCCTCCTGTCTTAGCTCTGACCATCGGGCCTGTGAGGCTGTGACTGCAGGCGTAGGCAGTTCCTAACGCTTCAAGCACACGGGAACCAAGCCACGGCCACTGCACTCGCAATCGGAGTTAGCAAAGTTCAAAGAGATATCTATCTATCTGTTTCATACGCTTCCGATCAGAGAACCACATTAGCTATTTGGATTTGGACAGTGTATGCAGCAAAAAAAAACTTTGTCATGAACTGAACAAGTGAACATCACGACGCCCCTAAGCTCCTACTGCGTTGAATGGCATTGTCGCCCTTCTAGTTAAATCTGGCCTGACTGAACCAAGAAACATCACTAGTGATAATTACACTGCTTTCACCGAAAATTACTGCGCTCCATATTTGCCACGAAACAAACTGATTATGTCTGATACTAACAGTATATGAGAAAGAGAAACTTCATCAACTGACAAAAAGTTTGTGAAGGAACAAATAGGTAAGCAAGTAACTCAAGACTCACAGAACTAACGGCCTGTTTGGGTAACGTAGTTTTTGAAAACTATGGTACCACAAAACTGTGGTTTTGTAACCTAAAGAGATACAGAATCATGGTTTAGAAAAAAAAAATAGTGGAGTTTTTAAAACTCAGTTATGGTATAGTATTTTTTTCCCACAATAAATCAGCGAACAATACTTTTCAGCCTAACTTTTCAGCGAAGCGAACAGGGCCGACAAAACCATGATTTAAAGCTACAAAGTTTATTTTATCCAAAACCTAACAATTTTTAAAAACTAAAGTATTTTCCAAAACCATGGTATTTCTCTAATACTTTGTATCAAATAGGGCCTAAGCTTTTGAGTAAAGCATTCTGCTGCTACTAGTCGTACAAGGAATTCAATAAGGGATAAGATCCAAGAGAGCAACAGTGACATTGTTTGTCTGCAAGAGAGAAAGAGAGGATTTTGATGAGGCCTTCATCAGGCTCTTCTGCCCAAGAAACTTTGACAAATTCTCATTTCTTCCCTCGGTTGGAGCGTCAGGAGGTATCCTCATTACTTGGAAAAGCAGCTCATTTCAGGGCAACCTAGTATTCCAGAATGATTTTGTTATATCAGTAGAGCTTTCCTCGGTTCACAATGAGGAGACCTGGATCCTTACTTCCATTTATGCTCCTTGTACTAGTGAAGGCAAAAGAGCTTTTCTACAGTGGTTAGCAACATTGAAATGCCAGAGTCAACAAAGTGGCTCATTGTAGGAGATTTTAATTTGATGAGAAAGCATGAAGATAGAAATAGAGATGGAGGCAATATTCAAGAAATGTTCCTTTTTAATGAGGCTATCAGCTCATTGGGTTTGGTGGAATTACCACTACTGGGAAGAAAATTCACATGGACAAACAAGCAGGCTAGCCCTCTTCTTGAGAGATTAGACCGGTTCTTTCACCTCTCAGTCTTGGACTCTTAGCTACCCAAACACAGTTGTGAAATCCCTTGTAATGGAAACTTCAGATCACTGGCCTTGCTCTATTGAAATCACCTCCAAAATTCCAAAAGTGAGAATCTTCAGGTTTGAGAATGCTTGGATGCAGCATGAAAGCTTTATGCAAGTGGTTCAGCAAAGTTGGTCAGGATCCTCAAACCAAACTGAACCTGAAAAAAGACTGACAACAAAATTCAATGCTCTGAGGGGAAATCTCAAAAATTGGCAGTCTGGCTTCTACACAATTAACAACAGAATCAAAGAAATTAAGCTAGTCCTATACTTCTTAGAATCCCTTGAGCTGTTAAGAGACCTTAGTGTCTCTGAGTGGAACTTCAAGAACTTGGTTTGCAATAAGCACATTTCCTTACTCAAACAACAAAGGGAGTACTAGAAGCAAAGGGGAAAAATTAGATGGGTAAAAGAAGGGGATGCTGGGACCAGATTCTTTCACACTCGTGCCACTATAAGAAACAGAAGAAACTCAATCCCATTCCTTACAAATGCTGATGGGGTTAGGCTCACTGATCATGAAGCAAAAGCAAGTCTCATCTCGGAATCCTTTAAAAACAGACTGGGGACAATAAATTTTGAAGCTATGCTCTTTGATCTTGAACAGCTTCTCAATAGACAAGATGACCTCCAGCAGCTAGAAGAGCCTTTTACTAGGGAAGAGACAAACAACATTGTTAAGGTACTGCCCACAAATAAATCCCCTGGTCCAGATGGCTTCAACAATGAGTTCATAAGAAAATGTTGGTCCATTGTTCAGCAAGACTTCTTTGACCTCATCCAGGCCTTCTACAATGGAGATATATGCTTGAACAGTACTAATGGCTCATACATCACCTCGGTGCCTAAAGATGGTCCTTCCAGTATTTCTGAATACAGACCAATTTCACTCTTGAATTCTTCAATGAAAATCATCACAAAACTGTTAGCTAACAGACTGCAAGAGGTGATCAAGAAGTTGATTCACACAAACCAATATAGATTCATAAAGACTAGGACAATCCAGGATTGCCTAGCATGGGCATTAGAATACTTACATATCTGCCATAAATCAAAGAAGAAGCTAATCATTCTCAAGCTTGATTTTGAGAAGACATTTGATACTATAGAACATGAAGCTATCTTACTAATCCTAAAAGCTAAGGGGTTTGGAGATAAATGGATTAACTGGATCAAGCTGATTCTGAATTCTGGCACTTCCTCTGTAATGCTGAATGGGGTACTTGGTAAAGTAATCCACTGCAGAAGAGGGGTTAGGCAAGGAGATCCACTGTCACCACTCCTCTTTGTACTGGCAGCAGACTTGTTACAATCCATTTTGAACAAAGCTAGACAATTGGGAGTCCTAAATTTGCCCATACCTCTACAGCACACCTCTGATTTCCCAATAGTGCAATATGCCGATGATACTCTGTTGATCATGGAAGCCTCAGCAACCCAACTACTTGCCCTCAAAGGTATCCTTCATTCATTTGGATTATCTACAGGATTGAAAGTTAATTATGCAAAATCCTCAATGGTGCCAATTAATATTGATGAGCAAGAGATAAAACACCTGGCTAGGACCTTCAATTGTGCTAAAGGGAGCCTACCCTTTACCTACTTAGGACTGCCCCTAAGCCTTTGTAAGCCAAGAGTAGTGGATTTCAGTCCCCTAGTAACAAAATGTGAAAGAAGATTGGCCTCAACTTCCTCTTTTCTCAACCAGGCAGGCAGGTTAGAATTGGCCAACTCAGTAATTACTGCCCTCCCCACATTTGCAATGTGCACCTTCAGCCTTCACAGTTCAATAATAGAGAAGATTGACAAATACAGAAAACACTGCATTTGGAGGGGAGCTGACCTAGAATCAAGAAAAGCAGCTAAGGCTGACTAGATCACAGTTAGAAGACCAAAGGAACAGTGAGGGTTAGGAGTTCTAAACCTTAAAACCCAAAATGAAGCATTACTTCTGAAGTTCTTTCATAAATTCCTAAACAAAGAAGATCTCCCTTGGGTTAACCTAATCTGGGAATCTTACTATGGAGAAGGCAGATTCATTGAAGGAATGAATAAAGCATCCTTTTGGTGGAAGGACATTCTAAAGCTCACTGATAAGTTCAGAGGAATTGCAGCAGTGCATATTATTGATGGGAAAACATGCAGACTCTGGGAAGACATGTGGAATAATATTATCCCAGAGCATCAGTATCCAGAGTTATTTTCTTTCACCAGAAGAAAAGGGATTACAATCAATGAGGCTAAAACCATAACTCCTTTCCATACTGCCTTTCATCTGCCTTTTTCAAAAGAAGCTTATTCCCAATACAGAGAATTCAATGATGCTCTTAATAACACTACCATTCAGAATGGAAATGATGTCTGGACCTATATCTGGGGATCTAACAGATTCTCCTCAAAACAGGCTTGCAAACACCTTAGTGGGCACATGTCTTGTAATGTGATCTTCAAAAAACTGTGGAAGATCTCCTGCCAAAACAACCACAAGTTTTTTTTTTGCTGCTATTGAAGGACCGACTGAGTACTAGAGAATTGCTGAAACGAAGAAATATGGAGCTCCCAAGCTACAACTGTGTCTTATGCAGTGAAGAAGCTGAAGAATCTGTCTTTCATCTATTCATTGGCTGTCAATTTGCAATAAGTTGCTGGGAAACCCTCCAGCTACAGCCAATGTCAAGCTCTGACCCTTTTCAG